GCGCCAACTGCTTCAGCTGCTCCATATAATGATTGAAGCTGCGTCGCATGCAGCTGGCCATGCCGCCTGGCTCCTCCTCCAGCTCATTGTCATCGCTCTCATCAATGACAATCGTTTGCGTCGGCTGCTGGCGATGTTGCTGCTGCTGCTGCTGCTGTTGCAAGCGCATGTTGCTGCTGTATTGCTTGGCCTCAAAATGTTGTTGATAGTAGTTGCGTGCATAGAAATTGAGAGGCTGTGCCCGGCGTAGTAAATGTTGCTGCTGCTGTTGATAGTTGCTGGCAAAGTGCGGCGGCTGTTTCATGGTCGACTCGTCTGGGCTCCATGCAGCATAGTTCCAGGCCAGGTACTGGCTATATCATTCGCTTGTTGCATTGTGTTGCTGCTGCTGATGATGCTGTGGCTGCAGCTGTTGATGCAGCATGTGCTGCTGCGCCAGGGCGTGTGCATGTTGCTGCAACTGTTGATGTGACTGTTGCTGCTGCTGTTGCTGCTGCTGCTGCTGTTGCTGCTGTTGTTGCTGCTGTTGCTGCTGCTGCTGCTGTTGCTGCGCGGCTGTAAACGCTGCTGCTGCCGCCGCTGCCATGGCTGCCTGCGATGCGGCCGCCAGCTGTGTGGCCGTAGGCGTGGCCGCACCACCGCCCACCGCCGTCGCCGTGGCGGACATTAGGTTGTCGAACTTGCGCGTGTCCGGATTGTACATGGGATGCTTGAACTTGCAATGGGTGCGCAGATTGTCGCTGCGTGTGTAGGTGGCGCGGCACAGTGGGCACTCGAAGCGGCCGGGGAAGTGGACGTGGTAATGGTTGCGTATGTGCGTCACGACCTTGCCGCACAGCTTGCAGCGATGCAGGTTGCAGCCGCCGGAGAGGCGCTCGAAGGTGAGCCGCATGTGCCAGGCCTTCGAGCCTGCGCACGTATTAATTATTTTATTTTCGTTTATGTTTTTTAATTTAATTTTTAATTAAGTTTTAGATGTTTTGTTTTTAAATATTCAATTTAGTTTTATTTTTTTTTGTTTTGGTTTTTTTTTTTTGGTTTCGGTTTTTGTTTTTGGTTTGGTTTGGTTTGGTTTGGTTTGTTCGTTCAAACGCGTAAAGAAAAAAGAAGAGAAAAACAATGTTGTTGTTGGTGATTCACAGAAACAGAAAAATTATTATTTTTATAATTATTCTTAAGCTGTATTGTTTTTTTTTTTTGGTTTTGTTTATTTAACTAGTTGCCCTTGCTTTTTATTTATATTTGAATATTTTTTTGTAGCCAATGAAGAGTTTGCAGTAATTTATTAACTATATATATGTGTCAAGACGTGCGAACGACGTCTTGTCTGGAGTTTTAGTAAGATATATGTATATATATATGTAATTGGCGGGGGGGAAAAACCATGAAAGGTGTATGGGTTGGTTCGGTGGGGTGGGCTTCAACGAGTTAAATTCCGTTTTATTTCGCAATTTCAGTTCGAATTTCAAATATGATTTACACGCAAAATTTTGTTACACCCAAAACAAAAACAAAATATTTAATAAACAATTATGATTAATTTAGTAAAATATTTCGTTTGGGAATGGAAAGAAGAAGAACCAATTCAGAACAACAAAAATATAAAAAAAAATTGTTGACAAAAGTGAAAAATTGCTTAAATTATTATTTACAATAAACGAACGACTTTTTGAAGAAACCCAAACCAAATAACGTTTATAAGAAATATAAATATATATATATATATATTTTATAATCATATATATATATATATATATATATATATATATATATACATATAGATATATGCAATGAGCGCTGTGTTTTTGTTTGGGATATATCAATTTGGTTTTGTAGTTTTATAATATATAAATAATTTGTTTGTTATGTGGTTTAAGTAGCTGATGAGTGTGTGTGTGTGTTTTGGTTGGATGTTTTGTTTCGACTGTTAATATTATAGAAGTTTGCCTTTTATTATAATTTGTTTTATTTCGAGGTTTGTTTTTAAGCCGAAACCGTATTAGTTTCAAAAAATATTGTACGGGCGTTGAGGGCAGTTTTCTCATTATAATTTATTTTTAATTTTGTTTTTTTTTTTTTGAGGGAAATGCTAATGTGAATGTACAAAAGAGGGTTAAATAAGAGGGGCCAGCATATAAGACTCAAAGGAAATTTAAAAAAAAAATACATAAAAAATAATATGTAAATAGTCAAATATAGTTAAGCGACATTCGACATTGTGGCATATACGAAAATATGTTTTCAACACCCCTCCTGCCTGCTGCATACAAAACATATATATCTATATAGTAAGAGAGCTCAAATAACGACAAAAAGTCCACAGAGTAAGACAGTAACAGCGTAAGAGAAAGTGAGAGACAGCGCAAGATTGTGTGTGAGAGAGAGAGAGAGAGAGACGTAAGAGAGTAGAAAGTGAGTGAGTAAGAGAGCAAGTGTTTCAAAACATTTTAGAAATATTATATATAGAGAGAGAGAGAAAACATTTTCAATTGTTTTGGCCAATTCCTGTTTTTTTTCGTCCAGTAATTTTTATAAGAATTTTAAATTTAGCTTTCGTTTTTTTTTTTTAGATAAAAAAGAGAACACATACATAAAACAATACGTAACTTAAGTTTTTATGCATTAAAATGTAATTTAACATATTTAAATCAACTTAGATGTATTTGGTTAGAGCTTAGAAAATGGAAACTTACCGTAGGTAGAGAGTGCGCTTGGAGTTTTTATTTATTATTATTATTATTATTATTATTGTTTGGATTAATCGAAATCGATAACGGTATTTGCTCACATATATATACGTACAAAATATATATATATATATATTATAAGAAACTGGCATTAAGTAGATTGATTGACCTTTGCTTGGTTAGTTTTTAGTACCTAAAGGCCGATCTCTTTTGAGAATTGAAAAGAACTGGAATTTGATTTGAAAGAGTTTTATTAAGTAAAGTTAAAGACGTTAAGTAATATTTGCTGTTTTGATATTTTGTTTTTGCTTTCGCTTGATCTGCATAATTGGATTTCATTTGTTTAAACTACGACTATTTTTGCTTTTCAAATACATTTGTTTATTGCTGAGCTTAAAGTGTGAACTAGAGATAATGTAACTTTAGCAAAAACCACTCTAAATTTATAGAAATATATATATATATTTGTTTGTGAATCGAAATAATTTAAGAACGGTTGCAACCAATCCAATATCGGTGGGTCTTTTGCCAAAGATACGAGAAACATATTTTATTTGTGGTATATAGATATCTAACGAGCGCCCAATTTCAATGCAAATACATAAAGGATTGGCATTATATCTTATCATAGATATGGAACCTTTAAGAGCATATATATGATGATATTTGAAGTGCTGTTACAACATTCTGTAGATCAAAGCTATGCCATATCAGGCAGATAAGAATTGATCCGAATAACCAATTCTAAATCATAGATGATATATATTATGACATATATATATATATATATATGAATGAACAATAAGAGTATATATATATACTTTTATAGTTTGTAATGATTGAAAAAATTAGATTTTAAGAGTTATCATTTCATAGACATTGATATAAAATCAATGATATCATAAAAAATTATGACATCAATCAATTATGATGAGTTTGGAGAGGTGTAACGAATAGAGCCGATCTTTGCTCTTAGAAAAGATTATCCTATCACATCTCTTACTTTAGCCAATACATCAATTCAAAGTTCTGCTAGATCATAGCATATCAGTGATGATATACACCTTTAGATGAATGAATCAAAAGAGTAATATATACTCACAGAAATCAAGAAACCATTATAGATGTCATCTGATTGCACTGATATGATATCAGAGACTTAAGAGTTAAACTAATGATATATCAGATCTTTCAGTTGAATACTCTTTGAGCTGAATGACCTTTCAACGAAATGATCTTTGACCTGAATGTTCCTTTAATCCGAGTGAGCTTTTATCTGAATGATCTTTAATCTGAGTGATATTTAAGCTGAATGATCTTTCAGTTGATTGATCTTTAACTGAATGACCTTTCAGCAAAATGATCTTTGATCTGAATGATCTCAACTGAAGGAACTGTAGTCTTAAAACCATATCAATGATATGATAACCATATCAAATATATAATCTTTAATGTTGTAGAGCCAACTCTTATCGATCTTACTTATGCTCATAGCAGATCAGCAGAGAGAGACTTGCTTGTATACTGTAACATAACGACTCATTGAGCTGTACGTTAACTTCAAATCAGAGTTCAATATGCTCTATATACTCTTGGAAGATGCAATACCAAATCCTAGTTAAGATATATATCCATAAGTGCTCATAGGGGGCTCATTTTTGCACTTTTTGTAAATGCTTCGTTTTGAAATCGAGCGCAATCGTTTTTACAGTTTTTGTTTTTATTTTAACAATTTATAATATTAGTTTATTTAAAATATTTGTTGTTTTGCTTAATTGTTGAGAAAATTGTTTTTTTTTTTTTTTGTATTTTCATATTTATTGCTTTTGTTTGCTATTCGCATTTCGCTTTTCGCTCTTTGCTTTTCAAATAGCTTTCAGCTAATGAATTAGTCTCGTTGTTGCATGCCTCACTCGTTGCATTTCTTGATAAAATTGATGTCATTTGTTGTTTAACCATTTGATTGTTTCATTAAGTACTAGATAATATGGCACACAAAATAGTATTAGTCAAAAAACTCACTACAGCACATGTTAAATATTATTTGTTATATGTAAACATAAATAAAGAAAATTAAAACTGGAAGCATAACGTCGTGGAATTCTAATGTAATACTTTATAAAGTTTGCTCTTAAGTACTGGCCGCGGTTCACAATAATGATAATAATAATCATAATAATAATAACGATTCAATTGATGTAAAAAAGCATCTAAAGGTTATTTAAGTAACAATTAATAAAAAGTCTTTTAAATCAACTACGAGAGTAGAATACATATTTCTTCTTTGATATCATAGCTAAAGAAACTGTTTGGATAAATCTTAAGTTCTTTTTGTATTATAATATTACGTATGTGGGCTTATTAAGTTTTATAGATTGAAAACCTTTTATTCGATACGATTCGATTTGATTTGATTTGTTTAACTTTTCCGTCTTTCACGATAAATTGCGTAAGGAAACTCTCGGAAATTCTTAGGGCTCTACATAATAAATAGTTTTAACTCTGGTGCAGACTTCCATTGGGTTGTTCGCGAGTGGCTTTTACAGATCGTATAACTATCTAAAGAAGTGATCACATATGTACATAATGGCTGAAGAAACGATCCTTGATATCCGCATGCTTGATCTTGCAATGGGCCTTCATATTGTCGCGACGCGTAAATTTCTGGCCGCAGACGGGGCACTCGTGGCTCTGCGGCCGATGGATGTTGGCGTGATGCCAGCGATTCGAGACGATCTTGTTGCAGCTGACGCAGCGATAGAGCGTGGGCAGCGTACCAGACAGCTGTACGAACAACGTTGAATAGTCAATGTTATGATCCCGACGATTCGCTGCTGCTGCTGCCGCTGCCGCCGCCGCTGCAGCCGCTGATGTTGATGATGACGACGAGCTGGGCTGCGGCGAAAGCGAGCCAATGGCGGGCTGATAATGCGGCGAATTGGCTGCCAGCGATGGCGGCGGCGCCGGCGGCGGCGGCACATGATGTCCATGATGCGCATAGCTGTGCGCCAGCTCCAGTTGCTGCGTTCCATTGGGCGACTGCTGCAGCGCATAGCTCAAATGCGATTGCTGCTGCTGCTGCTGTTCGCGATAGCTGCTGTTGCTGGAGGTGGGCGTGGGCGAATATGCCGCTGCTGCCTCAGCGCCGCAGAGCGTTTCCGCCGCTGTAGCTGCCACGATTGCGCTGCTGTGCCGGCCCAGATTGAGCGCCGTTTGCGGCGCCGTCGCCAACTGATGCTGATGCTGATGCTGATGCGGATGCGGATGATGTTGCTGCCGATTGCAGCGTATGGCGCGCATATTGCGCTCCTTGCACTTGTACTCGCAGTTGTAGCTGTTATCCATGTACAGATCCGTGGCGGGCATATCCTCGTCGTGCGGCGCATAGATGATAGCGCGTCTATATTTGGGCGTGGCATGATGATAGGCCAGTGCCGCCGCCGCCTCCTCCGCCTCCTCCTCATCGACGTCCACATCCTGGACAACGGCAACGGCCACATCGACCTCGACATCGTCGTCCGCTTCGTGCTTGCGGGCACTGTTAAAACATTTAACGCGACCTGCAAACATTTGCGTTTCGTATAATGCGTTATCACTGTGGCGATAGGTTTATTGTTTTTGTTTTTGTTTTTTTTTTATTGTTTTTTTTTTAGCAGGATTTGCCGAGTGCGTGGAATGCAATGCCTGGGGGGATGCGCTCTCGTTTACATTCCATGCGCACAGTGGGCTCTGGCCAATTGGTAATCGGTAATTGGTAATTGGTAATTGGAACTGAATAAGGCAGGCCATAAGGATTGCATATTGTATATATATATGTATAAATATGGTATGTGGTATAGGTAGATATAAGTATGTAGATATAAATGTTGATTTTGATTCATATTCTTTAGGTTATGCAAACGAATTGAAACAGCTACAAGAATAGTTCTTTAGTGTTTTTTTTGCTTTTCAGTTTTGGTTTTTGCTTTTTTTTTTGCTTTCGGTTTTCATTACAATTCAATTCAGATCGTATGCGTGTGTATATATTGTGGGTGTTTTGGCATTTAAAAGAGAACGTAAAATGCATTGAGAACAAAATGGAACTAGGAATAAAGCTGGCTGGCTGGCTTAAATAGCTTAGGTACTTGTTTGGCAACTAAGAGGATTTCAAATCATATCGACAAACGTAGGAGAAAACATATTTATATAGAAATATATATAAATAGCAGCTTAAGAACAATTTGTAATTAAACTAAAATTAAATTAAAAATTAAACACAAATTAAAAGTTCAACTTAAGGCTAATAAAAATTGGTATTTGGTATTTGGTTTCGGTTTCGGCAGGTTTCAGTATTCAAACAATTCAGCTATTTATAGTGTGTATATATTGCATATAAGGAGAACAAATCAAAAAATAACTAATTTCTATATGTTTGTGTGTCATTTGTGGACATTTACATAATATAATACAATTTCTGTTGTTGATTTATTTGATTGATTTTGATATTTCATTTTAGTACTTCAATGTTGCAACAAATGTTTCAGCAATAAACGATATATATATAGTTTATAATACTTAATTTTATTTCATATTCTTTTCTTTTCTTCTTTCATTTTTTGGGTGCAAATTCCAGTTCTTTTTTTCTTTTTTTTTTTTTTTTTGTGAGGCCTAAGTTTGGGTAGCTTAAGGGGGTTCGTGTTAGATAAGGTACGTTTATAATTTCTTTCAATTTTTGCGCAATTCGTAACCAATGTGCATGGTAAGTCCTTCGCTTAACGCTTAGCTTTGTAGAGACCGTAAGACTAAATTCACACACACACACACACACAGAGACTCAGCATACACGCACACACACGCATAGTACACATACCCATAAATATAGTATATGCATAAACAGAGAGAGAGAGAGAGAGAGACGGAAATATATTCGAAAGAAAAAACATTTAGTGAATCGACAAAAACCAATTACAATTAAACAGACAATCATTTACATCTCGTTAAACAGTGGTGGCAAATAAATTGAGCTCACATTAAATTATATATGCAGCAAGTTAGGTTAGTGTAAATATTGAACAGAAAAATTATATATATATATAGAAACTGAATGAATTTTGAAGCAGTGGCAGTTTTTGTTTTATTTTTTTTTTTTATTGTTATTTGTTTATATTTGTATTATTGTTGTTGTTATTATTTGAGAAAAAAAAAACTATTATTTTTTATATATTTTTTCTTGTTTGGTTTTTCTTACCGAAAGAATTATTCGATTTTCTTAGACAATAAGTTGCAACATTAAAGACGAAAATAGAGTTGAAAAATTTGAGGTATTTTTTTCTATATAGTTTAGCACAGTTATGAATAGAGTTAAGACAAAGAAGGCAAAACAACGCGCACAAAAGACTTTAAAAATGATCAAAATAAATAAATAAATTAGTAATAGAAAAATTAAACAAATATAATAATAAAAAGCAGTTAGTTGATGTGGAGAGAGAAAAGATTTGAAATAAATTTTTAAATATTATGTGAGCAGCTGAGTGTGTGTGTGTGAGTGTGTGTTTGTGTCATGATATATTTTTTATTGTTTATACTTTGAGCGTGTTTTTTTTTTATATATTTTGTCAGGTTAATATTATGTGAGCCAATTTGCTTAAACTGAACGTAAATTGTATGGATGTCAGCGGAGGCATTTCCCATATAGGTTTAACTATGAATAAGAAACTGAATAACTTAAATTTAAAGTAAAGAGAATTTCGAGTCAAAATCAAAAATAATATATATATATATATATTAACTGTATGGATCAAATAATAATCATAATCATAACAGTGGGCGTGTGTGTATGCGTCATCTAAACATGCAACATGCGTTAACATACAAAGAATACTAAACCGATTACGATAACGATTACGATTACGTTTACGTTTACGATAAGTCAGCTAATATAGTTTGCGCCTAAGAGTTACGATTAAAACAAAATACGATACGACAAAACAACAAATTATTTGATGTACTACAAATATACATATATATATATATATATATATAAAGTAAAGTATATATATGTATATATATGTGGCATAGTCTATTTGGTAGGAGAGGTGTTGATCTGCTGCTCTAGCAAGTGGCATTTCCTTCTCGATTTAACATTTTTTTTCGCTTAAAAGCTATCATTCAGAACGGCAATAAAAATTAGAGAAAAATAATAATAATAGAGGGAGGAGGTATACGTATATGGGTAGAAATAGATAAATACATAAATACAAAAGCATAAAAAGTAAGAACTTGATATACATATACTATATACTATAGCGATAAAAGTTGTCTTGTGTGTGGTGGTGGGGTGGGTGGATGTTCGGGGTGGTTGGGTAAGAAAGGTGTGAAAAGCACTTGAAGTGCTTTCGGGTCGGTTTCGATTCGCTTGGATATTAATATATATATATATATATATATATATATACGATCAAGTGCATGCAGGATAACTACACATATTTATATATATATATATATATATATGTGTTTACTTTACGATATGGCTGCCTACAGTGGTGGCCTGCTCGTCGCCCCACTGTGCACAGCCAGTCGCAATCAATTAGAAAAGTTTTGTCTACGCTGGGATAGTTAGGAACGGGTTATGCGAAAACAAATTAAGCTAAGAACTACGGATTTACAGTTGTTGTTGGTTGTTTTTTTTTTCTACAAGTTTTCCTTCGGACTCAATAGAATAATTACAAAAAAAAAACAGGTTTTTTTACAGAAATCAAAAGCTAATTCAAAAATTGTACAAGTTTTGCTCTAGATATTTTTTTATATATCATTGGATGATATCGCTTAGTTTCGAGTGCATTAGCTTCAAAGCACAGATAGAAACGAAACATATATATGCTATATATATATATAAATATATATATATATAAAGAGAGATATATATAATATATATATATATTCATATATATATACATTGGTAGAGTTGTGTGCGCTACTCACCGTCAATGTTGTCCGTCTGATCGAGTGGCATCTGTTTGGCATCGTTGTGCTCCTCCCGCGCATCGGCGGCCTGCAGCGCGTGTTGTGTTAACAGCGTCGACATGTCCTCGGCGTGCATTTTAAGAGCAGCGCTCTGCTTGGAAGAGAGAGAGAGAGAGGACAAATAGACAGAGAGAAGGAGAGATAGAGAGATAGAGAGCTTGTCATAGTTTATACTCGTTTATATTTATTTGTTATCGATTGCAAAATGCTTCAAGCTGCTTAAATTAATTATAAAAGCTAACTACTACTAAACCTGAGCAAGAGCAACATGTGTGTGTGAGTGTGGGTGTGTGTGTGTGTGCGGGTGTCTATGCTGCTTCAGGCGCTGTCCTCGCCCACATTGATGGTGATGATATCCGGCGGAGCAGCGCGCTTAGCTGTGCTGCCGCTGCTGCTTATCCTGGCCAGATTGCTCTGCTCCTGCAGCTCACGCTCGTAGCACAGACGATGCGATTTGCATTTGTTGTGATGATTGACAATCTCCAGTCGGAAATTGCAATTGCCCTCCACAAAGGAGGTGCGTATGTCGGCCAGCTCGTTGCTCCACTTGCGGCAATGCTTGCAGTACATCGTATTGGCCAGCTCATCGTACTGCAGCCAGTCGAACTGATACAGCCAATTGGCTCGAAAGCGTCCGCTCTTGCGCGACGAGGTGCCCGTAGTCGTTGCTGGCGGTCCCAGCAGTTTCTTGGGATCCGGCAGACGTTGTTGCTGTTGCTGCTGTTGTTGCTGTTGCTGCTGTTGCTGCTGTTGTTGCTGTTGTTGCTGCAGCAATCGCTGCACTGTGCTGTCCAGCGTCTCCTGCTGATATTGCAGTTGCAATGTCTTGAGCTGCGCCTCCATCGCATGCTGCAGCAGCAGCTGCTGCATCGAGGTCTCCGCTTTGTGCTCAGTGTCTTTAGTGCAGCTGGCTTTGGGCTACGGCAAACACCAAACGCAACCGAACAATAACAAAACACCAACAAAAAGAGCCAAAGGAAAAACAAATGGAAAAAAAAACATACAACTTAAGAAAAAATTGGCAAAACAATCTACTGGTAGAAGGAAGGATTTGACGCTGTTTTCTGTTTTCGTTTTTTTTTTTTTAATTTATTTACTTTAGCAAAAAAATTGTTGAGATTTTTTCTTTTTCTTGGCCGATATTCCATTGCGAGATATCTAAATGTGTTTAATCAACGAGCCAAACAACCAATCCTTCGTTCGCCCTTTGCTTTACGCGATTTTTTCTTAAATTTTACTACAAACAAAAAGCAACAACAACAACAACAATAATATGAACAATTTGTGAGCAGCTTTTGGTTTTCTCTTGAAGCATTTTGCAATTGGCTTAAATTATGCAAATATTTATATATATATACAAAAAAATATTTTAATTAGAAAAAAAAATAAATTAAGCTGCATTTTGTTTTTTTTTTTTTTTGGTTTTGTTTTGTTTTCGGTTTAAAACAGAAATTGGAACCATCGCACCGGTCCAAAGAAAAAACCTTAACAATTAACTTAGCTAACTACAGTTAGATAAAAGTGAAAAGTGGATCGGGTCGGGCAATACGTAGATCTATGTGGCTTCACTTACCGGCAAGTATTCGGGTGGCAGGCCGACGTGATGCTCGCGATGTTGCTGCTGCTGCTGCTGCTGTGCATCCATTAGCTCCTGCTTAATACTTAGCGACTGGCTGAGTCCGCTTAGCGCGCTGGACGCGCCCACATTCCCGCCGCCCAAATGGCCAACGGTCATCGACAATGGTGAATCGCGTCGACAGCCAATGCCGCCACCGCCGCCGCCGCCGCCGCCCGCATCCTCCGACTCGGATGTGCTGCCGCCCGTCTTTGGCACCGGACTCGACTTGAAATTGCTGGCCTGTAAAAGGGAAACAACGAGTTAGCATACTCTTCACCATTCGGCAGTCATATCTGGCGATTTCAGCCGCGAGAGCGGCACACGCCTACCGCTAAGTCAGGCACAAATACACTCTCACACACACATGCATATCATCAAAGATCTGTAAGCTGATAGGCTCGACAGTTGGGGCCTGCCTAACTTGTGTCACGACCGCGAAACATAAATGTTGCCTATTCACATTTGAACGGATGTTGATAACGAAAACATATTTGCCATCGCAGTGCAAATACCCCATAATTTATATGCTATATATATACAATATACAGTATAGTGTATTTATCGATATACACACTCACTATATCTCATTTCCGGTGACTAATTACTATTGCTTTCACATTTCGATAAGATTTGCATCGAGGGATTTAGCGTTAACTGTCAACAAGCATTATCGAATTGAAGAACCGATTATTTCCAGTTAAGCAATTATTAGCTATTGTTAGATTACCGATATTCGATAGGTTCTCAATCGTTGATCGATTAACAGATGTCCACTAAACATCGATTTATTATCGATTACTTGCAGTTCATATATATACTTGATCAAATATGGAATTGATTTTGTATTGTATATAATTTCAGTGCAATCAGCTCTATTTATCTAACTACCTACTTGTGATCTGGGCTATTATTGGTGTGCTCATAAATTTAATATGTGAAACATATCCGCTCATATTGATAACTATATTTCGAGTTCACATCGATATACTCGTAATCTACGCAAAATTCCACACAAGACGGAGACGGGGAACTACAAAGATCTTTGCAAATTCTATCACAAACTGATCCTGAAGTAAATGCATTAGAGTAGTTATAATTACTGATGAATGATCTATGATTTATGCTCAATGATCAATGATCAATGATCAAGGATCAATCATCAATGTTCCATGATCAATGATAAATGATCGATGATAAATTATCAATGATGAATGATCAATGATCTATGATCAATAGTCTTTTATGACCTATGATCAATGATCAATGATCAAGGATCAATGATCTATGATCAATGACTAATGATCCATGATCCATTATTTATGATTTATGATTCATGATCCACGATCCATGATCTATGATCTATGATCTATAATCTATAATCTATGATCTATGATCTATGTTCTATGATCTATGATCTATGATCTATGATCTATGATCTATGATCTATGATCTATGATCTATGATCTATGATCTATGATCTATGATCTATGATCTATGATCTATGATCTATGATCTATGATCTATGACCTATAATTTATGACGTCCTCAATCTCTCTCTGTCTAGCTCTTCCTTTGTTTCTATATCTCCCTCTTTCTCATTTATCTCACTTTCGCTATCTCTATCTAGCTTTCCCACTCTGTTACTATGTCTAGCTCTTCATCTTAGCTTTCTCACTCTGCCGACCTCTCACTCTCCCTCCATCCCTCTACCTATCGAGTATCTTCTCTTCCATCTTATCCAGCTTCTCTCGCTCTCTTTCTATCTCTCCCTCTTCATCAAGTCTATAGCTCACAAATAATTTAGTTAATGTTCCATAATTCCATGTCACCAAAAGATACAAATTAATATATGTTTCAAATTTTAATTCTAATCAGACATTGCATAAAACCAATATACTCTTTTTGCTTTGATAGCCAGCAAATCTTAAATTAGTCCAAACCCACGACTGATATATGCAACTTTTTAGCTAGCTTTGCATTCTTATACAGTAATACATATTTTATCAAAGGATTCTCCAATTGTGTGTTAATTATAAGCCAAGCAAATAGTTGGGCGTGGTTGACACTTCGAGAATGGTGCGAATCGAACAGCAGTTCGCAGTTTAATTTTACTTTGCTCGATTCAGTTTCAATCGTGATTTTGCTCCATTCAATTGCCATGGCCGGAATATTCAAGCTCATCAGAGCAGCTCCACTTGGGGTGCGGATGAAGTCAAGAGACGCTTGCATCTATTTGTTTCGAGTTATCAGATTCGTTGGCTGGCTGCAACCCAAGCATGGTACGATGCGCTATATGTATTTCATCTGGTCCTTCTTGGTAAATGCTCTATCGGCATTTTATATACCCGTCGGCTTTGGTCTCAGTCTCGCTTTCGACTTTGGGAGATTTCGTTCTGGCGAGATTCTTGGCATAATCCAAATCATGCTTAACACGAGCGGCATTACGTTTAAGTCTCTTATTATGCGCCTGCTATTTTTACGTCTTGAGGAGACGATGAAAGTGCTCGATGAAATGGACGAGCAGCTACAGGTCGACAGCGATCGCAGGAAGATCCACAAAGCTGTAGCCAACTGCAACTACGTCACTGTGGTTTACGGCGTATCTTACGTGGGCTATACGGTGTCCATGTTAGTGACTCCCATATTGAACGCTCAACCTCCGTGGCTGATCTATAATCCGCTCTTCGATTGGAGGGACGGGACCATTCAACTCTGCCTACAAACACTCTTTGAGTTCTCAACTCTAACTGTTGCTGTGGTTATGAATCTGGTCTTGGACACCTGCCCCATAATTTGCATGGTTGTATTTCGAGCGCATGTCGATATTTTGAAGGATCATATACGCAATCTACGCACCGATACGTACAACACGGAGCCTGAGAACTACGAAGAGCTGGTGCATTGCATCAAGTACTACAAACTGATCGTCAAGTAAGATCGACTGATCTATCTATCTAACTTCCTATATGTACATATCACTCATTCTATATACATCAACATTCACATGTAAATCTTCATTCATCTACATCAATTTACATCCATCTAGATTTGTATATCTATCTATACTATAGGCACATAGCTAACTATCCATATTCAAATATATTCATATATTTTCATCTAATGCATATCTATTCATCTATTCAATTAGCTATCTATATACATCTATTTCTATCTAAATGTATCTACATATATCTACATTCATCTATATCCTTCTATGTATATATTCTTTCCATCTACTTCAATATATTGATCCATATTCTTTTATATATTTATCCATCTATTCATCTATCTATCTGTAACTCTGTATCCATCTATGTGTATCTATCTAAGTATCTATATACATCCTCTATGCATATCTTTGTCTCTAAATATATCTATCTTTCTATCTATAAGTCATCTATATCCATAAATATGTTTCTATCAAACTTTATATATATCTTTACCTATCCCTATACTCATCCTTATATTATCCTATATCTATTTAGTCATCATTTCGTTGCATGAAATTCCTTTCAGATGCTGTGACCTGATGCGTCCCATACTGTCGCGCACGATTTGTATACAGTTTATGCTCATTGGGGCTGTGCTGGGCCTAACTATGATAGGCGTGCTCTACTCCTCGGATATCTTTTTCAAAATATCTTCGATCATATTGCTTATAGCTCTGCTGCTGGAGACATTTCCGTTTTGTTTTCTCTGCGATTCTCTAGTCGAAGACAGCGATGATCTGTCCAATATTCTGGGTCAATCGCATTGGATCGATGCTGAGCGTAAATACAAATCCACCTTAAGGATTTTCATGCATCAGGTACAGCAGCCGATCATATTTATTGGCTTCGGCATTATACTAATATCAGTAAACAGCAACATTAAGGTTGGTATGGCTATGCATCTAAATATTTCCTATATCATTTTGATACTATTTACAGGTTGCCAAGTTCGCATTCAGCGTTGTCACCATAGTGAAGAGCATGAATCTGTTCGATCAGTTTGAGTAGCTGTGAGCGTAGACTATATAATATCTATTGTATCTAATTATTGTTTCATAAACTATTTAAACTAATTCAGTAAAAGAAACACAAAATTTAGACTGCACAAAATACTTTTTGTTTACTGCATTAAGTTGTTTGAATTGTAGATCGTTTGTAGAAAGTGTTCAGAATTAGACTCAATAAAAAGCCAGACAAATTACTCAAGGAAGTGTACGACTTGTAGATACTCTGTATGCCAAGTCCTTGAAAAGTCCTTCTTTTATGGGAATTCAGAATTTAATGGCTTTGTGAAAATGTATGCAACAGGCAGAAGAAGGCGTGACAGTCTTCATAAAATATATATATTTTTGATCAGGACAACGAGCTGAGTCTATCTAGCTATGTCTGCTTTTTTAAGCGTAGGCTGAATACCGTAAATGTTGAAGACATCAGATTTATGGTGTCGGTTCTCCTAATACATACGATTTTAAATATTTTTGATTTTGGCTATGGAATAACTTCAACCCTTCGGCTCAAATTGACAGAAAAAAATGTATATTTCTAATACTAGAAACTTGTGCTTTTACAAATAAAAGCATACTATAGTTATTATACTATATTATACTATAGTTATTATTGCGAGCTTATGTGTGTATCGTACAATGATGGGAATATCAACGCTTCAGGGTATCTCCTAGTCGAGGCGACTCGACTAGAGCACAATTACTTGTTCAAAAAGTTTAGTATACTGAATACTTGAGCAGAATCTGCATATCAAATCTGGAAACTTAATATGCGTGCCAGGTCTGACAGATCAGACAGATGGCTACAACAACTTGGCTATTGATTTTGATGAAGAATATATAGATATAGTTTATAAAACACCTTTTGCTTGATTTTGAATACCAGTCTAATGCGATATGGTGCTATAATATATAAGGTCAAACAGTCTATGTCTGTTTAAACATAGCTCATAATATTCCACATTTATATTGATGAGCTTGCCTTGCTTAACAGACTTCTCTCTTTTTGATCAATTACTCAAGCGATCGCTTGACTCACCTGAGAGTCCTGCGCGTAGTGTCTGTCCTGTATGTGGGCCGCATTCGCATGATGGCTCGAGGACAACGAATTATCACAGTTGGATGATGAGTTCTTACGTCTGCGCTTACTGCTACACAGCTGATCGACGGGCGTTGTCGACAGCTCTCTGTCCCGATCTCTGTCTCTGCTATCGTTGCGCTCTCGATTGTTGTTGTTGTTGTTGCTGCTGCTGTTGTTGTTATTGTTGTTGTTGCTGCTGCTGCTGTTGCTGCTGTTGTTGTTGTTGTTGCTGCTGCTGTTAGTATTATTATTATCCTTGGTACTGTAGTCCAGCTGCAACAGCTCATCCCGACTGTCAGCACGCTCCAGCGTGCCCCGTTCACTGCCCCGATCGCTGCCAGCATCGCCGCGACTATTCAGAGCATCGGCGCTGGCGCTACGATTCGCAACTGCGGCGACGGCAGCGGCCATGGCAGCTGCCGCGGCATTGGCGCTGCCCACGCTGGGAGATCGTTCGCCGGCGCTGGTTGTCAGGCCGAGAGCGGCGGCAGCTGCATTCACATTGCCACCGGCTGCTGCCACAGCGGCAGCGGCAGCAGCGGCGGCCGCCGCAGCGGCCGAACTGCGTTCGCTCAAGCTGAGGCTGCTGCTGCTGCGCTGCAGATCGTCGCGCAGGTCGCGTTCGCAGCGGGAGCGCAGGGAGTCACGTGATTCGCGTATATCGGCGCCCATGCCGCCATAGCTGGGGCCACGCCCAGTGGGCGAGCTGGCAGCCGAGTCGCGCAGCTTGTCGCAATCGGAGCGATAATTCAGATTGTTGTTGTCTGTGAGGCCGCGCACCTGCAAAGCCATAAAAAACAGCTCATCAATAAAGATATGAATGAAGAGGTTTGGTCAACGCACCTGCAGACTCTCGGCAGTCTTCAGGAACATCGGCAGCGAACTTTGACCCACATTGACCTCGCCCTTGTACATGAAGTCCAGCAGGGAGCGCATCTCTGAGTATCGCACATCTTTCAAATATATGATCGGATGTGGATGCTGATTCTGCAGGAAAATCGTCTCGAAATATGGACTGCAGGCTGACAGTATGGTTTGATGTGCCTGCAACAGGATTGGGAACCGTTATAATTGCTATATATTCTATTTTTAGATCGTTCAGTTTGTACCTTGACTGTTTCGCCCTCACAGGCGAGGGTGACATCGCAGAGCGCCTCGCGCTGCAGCAGCGAGGTCAGCACCCCGGTCAAATTTGTGGGATGATTGTTCCAGCGTAAACAGAATTGCTGGTCCATAGCTCCTTGTTCAGTGTTGTACCTGTTGAAGCAATAACAGATATGTTAACTACGTATTCGAATAATCCGATACTAATTATACAAGAGTTGTATTTAATATAGAACAGAAGGCGGCGAAGAACAAATATATATGGAAAAGAAGATTTTTTTAATCTCACATTTTCACATGGAAAACGGGTGAATTGGGTATAATTTATATAATTATATATCATTTTTTAGTTCCATAACATTTTTTTGAATTGGTTTCTACCTATATCCATTACTTGAGCTAAAAGTTCAGATTAAATTGACTTCTTAGAACTCATAAACGATCTATGCAAATCCACTGTTAGGCGTGGAAACTAGGTGAATAAAGAAAAGCATAAGCTACACAGCTCACATATCACTGATCCTTTTATATATATTTATTATGTTTGAAAAAATTTTTTTTTGGCTTTTCGATCAACTAAAAATGTCGAAAACTTAATCAACTTAGATAGGAATACACATATATAGTAGCTCTTATCAGCATAGCGGGCGCGAGGCAAGTAAATTTCGAAAATGTTGTTAATATTTGGTTTATTAACACATTTGTTAGCCAGTTTTTGGCTTTAAAAAAAAAAACAGAATAACATCTGGATCTCGTGATCCAAAGTATAGCCATAATTACCCGAGAATTTGCGAGAGAACTGATGTTAATTTTCTGTATATCTATTGCTATTTGGTGAGTTTGTATAGCAGTTGGTTCCCTTTTATAGTTCTATTTGATGGCCCACATTCGCCGTGCGAGAAATTCGCACTTAAACAAATAGCAATCGACAACTGTACAATTTGTGATGTCTTATCGCACAACGATCGGAAATAGAACTCTGTACTCATTTAAGAGTTTTCACTACCTTTTTGGTGCTAGTCTATTTTGTATTTTAGTTCCTATCAACTCTCGCTAGCTATCAGCGCATGGGAAAGAGGAAGCGGATGCGGCTCCCATTTTTACTTTCAGCTGTGATATCGTTATCAGTGTCTATCTATAGGCACACGAAAACAAATGGTAATTTGTCATTAAACACCATGTAAATTTTTTTTTGCCAATACAATTAAGCGGAAGTTGTGCGGTTGCTGGGCCAACATTATTAATTGCATTTCCGTTAGCCGATAACAGGCTAAACGCGTGTGCCACTCGCCATTCGCCATCTCTCTGTCTCTGGGAGGGGTGCGTGTGCAGTGGTGTGTGGCGTGTAAATTGTCATTTGTTGCCGCCATGTTTTGACTGCTGGCTAACTGTTAATTGCTCGAGCAAATTTTGCGTGAAAATATTGGTGTAAGCTGGAAGGGGTTAAGTACATTGGCTTATGTTTTGCGGCCAAATGTAATGGCATAGATAAGCTAATGCTAATTTATGTAGCTCCACACACAGAGGCATACATACAAACAAACAAATAAACATATGCATACCCCAATTGTGATAGCCACCCTCGCTGGCACTATTTATATACATGCCTTGGCATATGTAAGTCACATGTATGCGTACGTTATTTTTTTTACAGCGCTCTAATCTTAACTGCTTTTGGGCAAAGTTCTAATGCAGCGAACAGTAACAAAAGAAAGAGTGACGCAAAGAGGAGGGGAAGAGGCAAAGCTGATAAGAAGTACTTTTGCTTTTCTTTGCGCTTTGTATACGTTTCAAATGCAGAGAGCGTACAAGAGAGCGCGTGAGAGCGCTTGACAGAAAGCTTTTTAGTAAGAGAGTATATGAGTGTTGTTGTTGCTGCTGCTGCTGTCGCTGACGACGCGCGCGCAGCTTAACAAAATAAATAAACAAAACGTCAAAGAACTTTTTCGCAAACGTGTGCGAGCGAGCAAGCGCTACAGGCGCACAATGAGGGTGTGTGACTGAGCTGGACGATCGCGAGAATGTGTGCATGTGTGTCTGTGTGTGTGTGTGTGTGAGCAGTAACAATAACAATAATAACAATTACAACTACAAGCTTCGTGTGTGCGTGTGCGCCATGGGGCCCGGCGCTGTCGTAAGCGATTTTTTATTTGCGGCGCCGACTGCGACGCCCGCAATGTATTTTTTCTTTGTTTTTGTTTTTTTCTTTTCATTTTTATTATTATTTTATTCTCTCGCTGTGTTTGTGTGGCTTATAAAATTTAATAGCACAAGCAACAATATACATACACACATAAATATATATAAATATATATATATTATATGTATATATATATATATATATACAACGGGCATTAAACTATCTCTCGCAGAGAACTTTCGCTTTCAGCTGAGAAAACTTTTGCAATAACTTTTGTTGTTAATTTCGCATTTTATTTATTTATTTATTTTACTTTGTTTTTTTTTTTCTTTGCTTTTTGCAAACGTTCTAAATTTGCAGAGAGCCAGCGCAGATCACGCGGCTTTCATTTGCTATTACAATTTGATTTTCATACATATGGAAATATATAGAATATACTTTTCGAATTATCATATATTTCGCACACATTTTACAACAAATTCTATGCTAAATTGGCAGACTTTACAATCTGATTGAATACTATTTTGAATTTGAGAATATATCGCAGAGTAAAATCTATGCCGCGATGGAAACTTCTATTTGCCGTGCATTACATAATGTTCACATTGATAGTGTAAGGTTAGCAAATTATAAAAAAAAAAAAACAAAACAAAAAAAAAACAAAATTATGGCAGCTAAAGTTTCAAGCGAATTATTGAATTACAGTCTATAAAAAAGTGAATTTGAAATTGAGAAATGATGCAGACTTGAAATTGAAATAATATATAATCATTATAGCAGATCAGTAAACAGAATATATAAATATATCTAAGCAAAATTAATAAATAATAAATATAACTTGAAATGGATTTTCTCGCATTTATTTATCTATAAACTTGGATTAACTCATTACATTAGGTATCTATATGTAAATAAAGATTAAATAATGTAAGTTAAATCAATGTCAGATATCTACATCTATAGAGCTATACATAACATATATAGTATATGCCAGACTTTTAATACCCAATATAGAACTTTGCCTTTATTGTAGATAAATTGTAAATATTTATTTATAATTAATGAATAATTAATTGCATTTTATAGAAAATTAAATTAAATATTTTTCTTCAAATTATATATATTATCCATATATCTATATATAGCAGATAGTACAGCTTTAGCAAGTTAATATATCAACGATCAGCACGAGTCGCTCTAGCCATGTCCGGTACAAGCCTAGAATTTTAGATGTGTTTTCCTGTACAGCATACTCAGTACGCGCTTATCATTTTGCGATAACTTATACTTATCTCATTTCCTAATGATCGACAGTAATCGAAAAGTAAATCGAACGTAAAGCAGATTTCTCGCTGCGCTCGGGTTATCTGCCAGTCGGGCATTGCCTAGAGCTATCCTACTTTCGTTCATAAATCACCTGAACAATTAAGCTTGAATTAATAATTTTTAATTAATAATTTATAATAACAATACAGAAAATAATAATAAACATAAATTAATAATTAGCAATTTATAAATTTTTATTTATGGAGAAGGTCGAAGAAAAAAAATTATGTATAATTGAAATGCATTTTTATTTTCTGTTTCATTTTCATTGACGCGAATTGCAGTTTATAAAGTGATTCACAATTTGCAGTTCCCATTTTCACTTGCACTTTTCACTTGCAATGGCCCAGCGCCGCGCCCCCACGCCCCCTCACTGCAACCCCTCCACACACATGTTTAATTAATGGGTGCAATGGCAGTAGCAAAACTTTTACTTTCCGCTGCTTACGTCAAATTGTTTAAGTATGTATATATTATATATATATATATATATATATTTATATGTGTATATTGTGTTTGCTTATCAGCGTTGCAGGCAGACGTAGCGCGAGCGTTGAAAAAAAAAACACTTGAGAATACAAACAGAACCAAACAAAAACAAAAGTAAAGAGAGTTTTTTTCTTTTGGGGCGGGTCGAGTTGAGCGATCAGCAAATTGCGCAATATGTTAAATATATATGTATGTGTAGGTATGTATGTCTATAAGTGCCCGCGTTATCCGTGCGCTGTTTGCTTAGCTCAGCGCGATGCTGTAATAGATACGCATCGGGCCAGAGCTGTGGACAGTCCATGGGACGTGCTTAACAGTACTAACTGAACGATATTATATTTATGGCCATTTCCCTTGATTGTACGAAAATTACTTTTCATCTTACACAAACTTATTTGGGCATAAACTCTATAATCTGCTGTAAGTCTTAACTTTTTAGGCATTTGAAGGCTTATCCGAATGCTTAATAAATTTACAAAATTATTTCCAATGCAAAATAATTTATACAAAGTTAAATTAGGAATTTTGTTGTTAAAAATTTGTAGCTGAAAATATTTATGAATATATTTTATACGAATAGTCTTTACTGTAACGTTCTACTTTAAATAAATGTCTAATATGTAAGAAATAAATAAATAAATAATAATTCAGGCTGATTAATTGTAGATGAGATAACAAACTCTAATGCAGATGCAAATAGAGCTGTGGACAGCACACGCCTGGTGTCACGTGCCTGTTGCCCATAGATACATATGTATATATATGGCTACTTAGATAATCAATGCTAACAATACACACACACACACACACGCAACATTACACACATGGATACTGCCACAACTGCCAACACACGCGTCCCACGCGGCGTATCAGCAATGGCCTTCAACTTTTAGTTAGCTGCGCCTTATCGTGCGCAGCAGCGACGCCGGCAGCGAAACGGGCAGCGCTGCTGTAACAGCCAAATAGTTTTTCAATTTACACGTTCTAAATTGCTGTGAGAGAGAGAGATGAGAGGAGAGAGAGAGGCAGTGCCGGTTGGCTGGGGTTTGCTCGAGCTGAGAGAGATACACGAGCACTTGAAGTGCTGTACGGACGTACGGACGTACGGACGGACGGACCGATAATAATTATAAATACAAAGTAGTTTGTTGATATTTGTTGTTGCTGCTGTTTCTCTTTGCTCATTTTCGAATATTTT